GGCCTAACTGATATTGAACACAAGAGGGCAGTATAGCACTACGTATGACTCAGATTATTTTTTCTTCTTCTGAATTTTACAACCTGGCTGTTTTTGAACGTAAACATAATTCTTAAATGAAAAAAGGGAAAAACTGCTTTAATTATAATATTTGTATAATTTAATTTAGAAACAAATGATGTATAATTACATTTTTAGAAGATATGAGGCTTTTAGTGTTTACTTTTTTGACATTACTTTAATCTTTTGCCAAAGTTGCACATGCCTACTGGCTAATAAATGTGATGTATCTGTCGAGCTATCTGTATCTATCTGTTTCAAGCAATTTCAAGCATGCTAAGAGTCCCAAAAGTATCAAAAAAGAATGTTAAAGTTTGATTTGTTGCCACAGCAACAGTATCAAAGATATCAAGAATCCATTCACAGGTCTACATCTGCTGTATTTTTACATTATACAGATGAAGTTTGAAGCAAATCGGTTAAAAATAAGAGGGTGATATCAAAGCATTTTGAAAGTGACACACTTCCTGCTGCCAGTTGGTGGCGCTATAACTTTGACTCACAATAGTCACATCCATGTAATCAGCCTCTTACAGTGAACACACTGCTGAAGTTTCATCAAGATCAGTTAATGTATGCTGAAGTTATAACACACTTCCTGTTTCACGTTTCTCGCCATAATTTTGTTTCCTCGCCACGGCCAAACCGTTCGAGATATCAAAAATCCCCTCGCAAACTTTCATCCTCAATGCCTTGACTTCATGCTGACCGAGTTTCGTGCCGTGTGTTTGAATTCTCTAGGAGGAGTATTGCACATTCCATTGCGAGCGTTTTACAAACAAACCTCAATAGCCGACTTCCTGTTTGGCTGGGGTAAAAAGTAAGAGCGTGAGGTATAGATGAAACGATGAGATCAACATGTGTACCGAGTTTCATATTATTACATGCAAGCGTGTTTGATTTATGGACCAAGTGTTCGGACCCCGTTCCAGGGGGCGCTGTCTAGCCCCCCTGCCACACCCAGGTACCATCTTCAGCCCGGCTCTGATGGCTGTGGGATCTGACCTGTGTGCAAAGTTTCAAGAGTTTTCAAACCCGTTAAGGGCCCCAAAAGCCGCTAAGAGTCTCAAAATCATAAAAAAAAAGAATTTTAAAGTTTGATGCGTTGCCACGGCAACAGTATCAAAGATATCAAGAATCCATTCACAGGTCTTCATCTGCTATGTATTTACATTATACAGATTAAGTTTGAAGCACATCGGGTAAAAATAAAAGGGTGAGTTCAAAGCATTTTGAAAGTGACACACTTCCTGCTACCAGTTGGTGGCGCTATAACTTTGACTCACAATAGTCACATCCATGTGATCGTCCTCTTACAGCGAACACACTGCTGAAGTTTCATCAAGATCAGTTAATGTATGCTGAAGTTATAACACACTTCCTGTTTCACGTTTCTCGCCATAATTTCGTTTCCTCGCCATGGCCAAACCGTTCGAGATATCAAAAATCCCCTCGCAAACTTTCATCGTCAATGCCTTGACTTCATGCTGACCGAGTTTCGTGCCGTGTGTTTGAATTCTCTAGGAGTAGTACTTCAAATTCCATTGCGAGTGTTTTATGAACAACCCTAAATAACCGACTTCCTGTTGGGCTGGGGTAAAAAGTAATAGTATGAGGTATATATGAACGATGAGATCTATATGTGCACCGAGTTTCATATTATTACATGCAAGCGTGTTTGATTTATGGACCAAGTTTTCGGACCCCGTTCCAGGGGGCGCTGTCTAGTCCCCCTGCCACGCCCGGGTACCATCTTCAGCCCGGCCCTGATGGCCGCGGGTTCTGACCCGTGTGCTAAGTTTCAAGAGTTTTTGAGCATGTTAAGGGCCCCAAAAGTGCCCGAATAGTCGTATAAATAATAATAATAATAATAATAAATATAGCTGCGAGCAGCGATGGCGGGCCCAAGCCGGTGGCACCGCAACCCCGGCTCCTTTAGTTACCTAAAGGCACCGGGGTGGCGGTGCCGAAGGCTTTGGCCCTTTCATGATTAAATGTTAAAACGGCTTGCCATAGTCTGTCATTTTGACTAGTCACAATTATGTTACAGATATCTTAAATGATAATACAAACTATCCAAAATGTAATTACGACTAGACAGAAAGACATTGTTGATATCTACAATGTTAATTTCCGGATAGGCAAACTTAGCTTTTAAATGTTAAAAGGGCTTGCCATACACGGACGTAGGCTCAGAGAGAGTCTCACCATATTCAAACCAAAATATCTGACTTCCTCTTGGTCTGAGCTAATGACTATGAATTAGAAAGTTGTCTGGCTTGAGGAGTACAATGTATATAACGATTTTTGTAACTGTAGATAAAAATAACAACCCCACTTTTGTCAAAAGGTGGCGCTATTTAGTCCCTGCACCATGCCCGTTTCTGAAACTTTGCACATGTCTACTGGCTAATAAATGTGATGTGTCTGTTGAGTTTCATGCAATTTCAAGCATGCTAAGAGTCTCAAAAGCATCCTAAAATAATTTCAAAGTTTGAAGCTTTGCCACGGCAACAGTTTAAAAGATATCAAGAATCCATTCACAGGTCTACATCTACCGTATGTTTACATTATACAGATGAAGTTTTTCATCTGTTTTTCATCATTATACAGATGAAGTTTTTCATCTGTTTACATTATACAGATGAAGTTTTTCATTCATATTATTACATGCAAGCGTGTTTGATTTATGGACCAAGTTTTCGGACCCCGTTCCAGGGGCGCTGTCTAGCCCCCCTGCCACGCCTAGGTACCATCTTCAGCCCGGGCCTGATGGCTGTGGGATATGACCTGTGTGCAAAGTTTCAAGAGTTTTCAAACCCGTTAAGGGCCTCAAAAGCCATTAAGAGTCTCAAAATCATCAAAAAAAAGAATTTTAAAGTTTGATGCGTTGCCACGGCAACAGTATCAAAGATATCAAGAATCCATTCACAGGTCTTCATCTGCCATGTATTTACATTATACAGATGAAGTTTGAAGCAAATCGGGTAAAAATAAGAGGTTGATTTCAAAGCATTTTGAAAGTGACACACTTCCTGCTGCCAGTTGGTGGCGCTATAACTTTGACTCGAAATAGTCACATCCATGTGATCGTCCTCTTACAGCGAACACACTGATGAAGTTTCATCAAGATATGTTAATGTATGCTGAAGTTATAACACACTTCCTGTTTCACGTTTCTCGCCATAATTTCGTTTCCTCGCCACGGCCAAACCGTTTGAGATATCAAAAATCCCCTCACAAACTTTCATCCTCAATGTCTTGACTTCTTGCACACCGAGTTTGGTTGTGATTGGTAAACACATGCGTTGTAATTTGATGTATTTCTCCTAGGACAACTATTCAAACAACCCATAATTCTCAACTTCCATTTTAATTGTCGTAAAACTTAGAGCACGAAAGTTGTTTGGCCTGATGTGATCTATAATTGTACCGAGTTTCATATTAATTCACGCAAGTGTGTTTGATTTATGGACAAATGTTCGAATCCCAGTCCAGGGGGCGCTGTCGAGCCGCCCTGCCACGCCCGATGACCAGCTTCAGCCCGGCCCTGATGGCCATGGGTTCTGACCCGTGTGCAAAGTTTCAAGAGTTTTAGAGGATGTTAAGGCCCCCGAAAATGCCAGAGAAGTCGCACACAGCAAATAAAGGGTTAAAATTAACCTGACAGGCGCCCCTCCTCTCACTCACACAGAGAGACACTGAGAGACTGGCAAAATTCTAAGATTTTCTCTACATTCAAACAAAGATATCTGACTTTCTGTGGGTCCTAGCTAATGAGTGTCAATTAGAAAGTTGTCCGGCTCGAGGAGTACAATATACATACCGATTTTTGTAACTCTAGTTAAAACTAACAACCCCACTTTTGTCAAAAGGTGGTGCTACTGAGCCCTCACCACGCCCGTTTCTGAAACTTTGCACATGTCTACTGGCTAATAAATGTGATGTGTCTGTCGAGTTTCATGCGATTTGAAGCATGCTAAGGGTCTCAAAAGCATCCTAAAAGAATGGTAAAGTTTGATGCGTTGCCACGGCAACAGTTTAAAAGATATCAAGAATCCATTCACAGGTCTACATCTGCCGTATATTTACATTATACAGATTAAGTTTGAAGCAAATCGGGTAAAAATAAAAGGGTGATTTCAAAGCATTTTGAAAGTGACACACTTCCTGCTGCCAGTTGGTGGCGCTATAACTTTGACTCACAATATCACATCCATGTGATCGTCCTCTTACAGCGAACACACTGCTGAAGTTTCATCAAGATCAGTTAATGTATGCTGAAGTTATAACACACTTCCTGTTTCACGTTTCTCGCCATAATTTCGTTTCCTCGCCACGGCCCAAA